TTTGACTTCCTCTCTTCCTATTTAGATGCGCTTTATTTATCTTGCCTGAATGCTGTGGCTAGGACTTATAATACTATGTTGAAGAGAAGTGGTGAGGGCATCCTTGTCTTCTGCTGGTTTTCAAAAAGAATGCTTCCAGCTTTTGCTCATTCGGTATAATGTTGGCTGTGGGTTTGTCATAGATGGCTCTTATTATTTTCAGGTATGTTCCTTCAATATCTAGTTTATCGAGAGTTTTTAACATGAAAGAATGCTGAATTATATCAAAAACCTTTTCTCTATCTATTGAGACAATCATGTTTATGTGATGAATCACACTGATTGATTTTTGTATGCTGAAGCAAACTTGCATCCCAGCAATGAAGCCTACTTCATGGTGGATTAAATTTCTGATGTGCTGCTGGATTCAGTTTGCAAGTATTTTGTTGAGGATTTCTGCATCAATGTTCATCAAGGTTATTGGCCTGATATTTTCTTTTTTTGTTGTGTCTCTCCCAGGTTTTGGTAACAAGATGATGCTGGCCTCACAGAATGAGTTGAGGAGAAGTCCCCCCTCCACAACTTTTTGGAACAGTTACTGTTAGAATGGTACCAGCTGTTCATTGTACATCTGGTAGAATTCCTCTATGAATCCATCAGGTCCTGCGCTTCTTTGGTTGGTAGGCTATTTATTACTTATTCAGTTTTGGAGTTTGTTATTAGTCTGTTCAGAGAATCAATGTTTTCCTGGCTCAGTCTTCAGAGGGTGTATGTTTCCAGCAATTTAGAGGTGTTCGTAGTAGTTTCTGATGGTTGTTTATGTCTGTGGGGTCAGTAGTAACATTCCCTTTGTCATTTCTAATTGTGTTTATTTGATCTTCTCTCTTTTCTTCTTAATTAGTCTAGCTAGTGGCCTATCTTACCAATTTTTTCAAAAAACCAAATCCTGGATTTGCTGATATTTTGAATGTTTTTTTGTGTCTCAACTTCCTTCAGTTCAGCTCTGATTTTTGTTACTTCTCATCTTCCGCTAGCTTTGGGGTTGATTTGTTCTTCTTCAATTCTTTCCATTGTGAAGTTAGGTTGTTAATTTGAAATCTTTCTAACTTTTTGATGTGGGCATTTAGTGCTATGATTTTCCCTCTGAACACTGCCTTACTTGTGTCCTAGAGATTTTGGTATGTTCTATCTTTGTTCTCATTATTTTCAAAAAACTTTATGATGTCTGTCTTAAATTCATTATTTACCCAAAAGTTATTCAGGAACATGTTGTTTAGTTTCCCTGTAATTGTATGATTTTGAATGATTTTCATTGTGTTGACTTCTATTTTTATTATGCTGTGGTCTGAGAGTGCGTCTGGTATGCTTTCAGTTGTTTTACATTTGTTGAAGAATGTTTTATGTCCAATTATGTGGTTGGTTTTAGAGTATGTGCCATGTGAAGACAAGAAGAATGTATATTGTCTATACTTCATTTTAATTCTCTGATTCTTCTTACATTGTTGTTCTTACCTGGAATATTCTCCCTAAGGTACAGTCAGGTCACATATTCATTCTGAAGGTTTTTCTGACCAAGTCAATCCTCAGTGACCTACCTCATTTTCCTCTAGATTCCATACCACTTATAACTGGTAACACTATATCCTCAAATGTCTACATAAAGCAATTCCACCTTATTTCCCATCAACTTCTAGTCATACTGAAAACCATGGAACTGTACACAGTTGTGCATCGCTACCAAGCCAAAAACTAAGATCTTCATACCACCTTCTGAGAAGTCAGAAGAGGAATAACAGCCACATCACCAAAGAGAACAGTTTTAGCCAGCATGAGGAAGTCCCCTTTGCTTTAACCTTCACAAGAAAAATAACTTTGTAAAGACCAATTGTTTTTTGTTTCTGCTTTCCTCAGCCTTTTTCTGTCTATAAAACTAGCCTCTTCTGTTTTATAGAATGAAGTGTTGCCTGATTCTTGAATGGCAAATGAAAGTCAATTAAGATCTTTAAACTAAATTTGTAGTAATTTTGTATCTGACAGCCACAACCTATAATTCTTGCCTTAATCTCTTTTCATCTCCTCAAAGACAAACTTATTGTTCCAAATTACAAAGACCAAATCTAATTTTGGGAACTCAGCCAGGGCCTTAGGACAAAGGGGAAAAAGTGTACAAACAAGAAATTTTGTAGGATAAGTAACATCAAGAGTGAATGAAAAGTATGCTCCTTCCCTCATCAACTGCTGCCAACTCACTGGCTTGACAGGATAGAAACTCATCTACATCTTTATAGCAAAGCGTCTTGAACACAGACGGCACCAAATGTCCGTTAATAACAAATGCCTTGAAGGAAACTTCTTATGATGTATTCAGTAGTCCTCAAATCTTAACAAATATTAAAGTCTTAAAGCAGGAAACGGAGATGAGGGAAAGGAAAAGTAAAATGACAGGGCATGCATTCACTTCTCAACAGAATATTAGAAGTGCACGTTCTTAACTGTGTTTTTTCAAGGTGACCCCTTAAAAGCTGCCCTCTTATCTGTAAACACAGTACTTAACGACACTTCACTTCTGTCAGAGAAAAAATGTGCACCATTACGAGAAGCAAGAATTTAAATATGAAAGCCCACCTCCTCCTAAAAGGGGTACCAAAATTCAAATTCCTATGCTTCTACAGGCAGCCAGGAGGAAATCAACACAATGAATCTTGGAAGTGAGGTATGTGAGGTGGGTAAGAAGGAGCTCCGCTTTCAAAGGATAGAGGGTTGGCAGGGACAGAAGACAAGTCTTTTTGTAGTTGAACTTCTGAAAGCAACAAAGACAGTAGGTCAACACAGCATAAAAGCCAGACAGCACAGATCAGCTGAAACCTGAGTTAGATCCTGACTGTAGAAGCCTAGGATCAATGAATTCAAGAATTTCTCTTTCTGGTACTCTGCATAGGCAAATTTAATCCCACAAATTCCTTTCCCTGGCTCTGAAATAATATGAACATAGTACACTTCTCATTTGTTTAGCTTCAGAAATGTATTTTTTTCCTCTTCCTATTTATTCACACTTATCTGGTAACTTGTCTTAGGTTATTTAGAGGCCAAGATACATATATATACATACATGTATCTTGGTCTCTTTATTAATTCCTTTTTATTCATAAAGACTCCTTTAAATTATACCTTTTTTCCCCAGTCATTTATTGAATATTCAGTGGTTTAGACTAAGGGATTTAGAAAAGTATTTACAGTGAGTAATTCTTGGCTTCAATATGCAGAAAATTAAAGTGCCAAGAGAAAATAAACACCTAGAAGAGAATGTTTTCCAGAGTTTATATATGGTTATTTTGTCATCTGCTTTCTTCTTTGAACTCATATATACAAATGCTAATACCCCCACTCTAAATGTTCAACAAGGCATTTTTATTCTGCTTTTTGCAGAATGCTGATCAACATCAAGATTTCTTCCAGTCATATATAATGAAGACAGCATCTGATTACCATTCTGAATGACTTCAACATATCAGGACAACTTCTCCCAGAGAATACTTTATTCAATAATATAAAGAAGCACCACCATTATTAAGAGTCAGAAAGGGCCGGGCGCGGTGGCTCACACCTGTAATCCCAGCACTTTGGGAGGCCGAGACGGGAGGATCACGAGGTCAGGAGCTCGAGACCATCCTGGCTAACATAGTGAAATCCCGTCTCTACTAAAAATACAAAAAAAAAAATTAGCTGGGCGTGGTGGCGGGCACCTGTAGTCCCAGCTACACGGGAGGCTGAGGCAGGAGAATGGCGTGAACCCAAGGGGCGGAGCTTGCAGCAATCTGAGATCGCGCCACTGCACTCCAGCCTGGGCGACAGAGCGAGACTCCGTCTCAAAAAAAAAAAAAAGAAAAGAAAAGAGTCAGAAAGCACTGAACCAGAGAAAGCAGTTACATACAAATTTTGTCATTTGATAGAATCAACCAAATATATAAACAAGAATCCTGACATCTTAAAGATAAAGAAATCAGTAAACAAATAAAAGAAGTACCAAAGCACCACTCATGATGATACCATTCTCTCTGTCCATTATTATACAACTGGTCAATGATTTTAAATAGCTATCAAACTGGTAAACACAAGGTTTTCAACTGTCTCCAATAAGAAAAACTGATAACTTAAAAAATACCTGCAGTAAGGGCAGGCTGACAATGCCTGACATATACAAGGAACACAAAAAATGATTGCTAGACAAATTAAAGGGCCTTCATGGGATGAAGAGAACGTAAATCATTCTTATGAAAAAATGTTTTTTTAAAAGACTTTGAAAAAGAAAATGATATTCACATGTATACTCTATTTTTATTTATCTTTTAAAATACGATTTATGTCCACAAATATTAACTGTGGATTGAGTCTGCATAAGAGAGCTTAAAATCCTCATTTACCTCTTCAAATTTCTCTAGTTCACCAATTCACTGTAACTTAAGAAAAGTAAATAGAGTGCTAAATTAAAAATTCACTCTTGGCCAGGCGTGGTGGCTCACGCCTGTAATCCCAGCACTTCGGGAGGCTGACGTGGGCGGATTACAAGGTCAAGAGATCGAGAACATCCTGGCCAACACAGAGAAACCCTGTCTCTACTAAAAATACAAAAATTAGCTGGGCGTTGTGGCGCACGCCTATAGTCCCAGCTACTCGGGAGGCTGAGGCAGGAGAATCACTTGAATCCGGGAGGCAGAGGTTGCAGTGAGCTGAGATCACACCACTGCACTCCAGCCTGGCCACAGAGTGAGACTCCGTTTCAAAAAAATTAAAAAATTAAAAAACCCCAAAAATTCACTCTTACCTGTCACAGTGTAAGACGGCTGGTAATACAGGAAATCAGACTGGTTTGAATTGTCTAGGTAAGTTTTTCAAGGATTTTCATTGACAATTTCAGGTGCTGCTCATAGTCTTCTGTCCACAAAACTAATATTAAATTTCAGACCCTCAGAGGAAAACTATTAAACAGCAATGTGCCCCTCAAGATAGGAAGCAAAACTTACTTCAAGTTGAAAAAGTTCTCCAGCTCCCTCAGAGTCATTGGATGTGATTATTGGAGTATGAATATGTACAAAGCCACTGTCCTGAAAAAGAAAACCAGAGTTTTCAAGATATTTGCATATTCAACAATTCCAAGAACACACATCCTCTTATGGTATTAAAATGGCACAGTAAGCAAATGCTGTATCAAATCCCTCCCTAATCCCCCAAATACTAAGAATACTGAGAATCAGTTGAGTGTTTCAACTACACACAGGGGCACAAATAATTTTATTCAGGAACACACTTAGACATTAACCAGTCCAACCTCTTCATTTCAAAGACAAGGAAGTTAAGGCCCAGACAGATTTAGTGACTTTCCACAAGTTACACAATTAGTCAGTGGATAAGCCAGGACTAGAACCTAGATCTTCATGCTCTCTCTTTAGTATATTCTCTTCCCTTTTCTATAACATTTTGGTGGTGATTTAACAAACAGGTACACACACTCTAGGCTAGTGCATAATGATGTTACCCACGTTGCTAGGGGAATACAAAGCAATTAGTATAAACTTATCTTGAAATATGATCTCAATTGTAATGAACCAACAAAAAAGGAGAAAAAGTAGACAAATAGAGACTGAATAAACAAACAGCAAAAAAGGGCAGAAATGATCTTTAGGAAGTCTCTGTCACTAAACTGATGGGCCAATGGACTCCGCATGGTACAGGCAGTGTACTTCCTTTGCCTGAAGGAATATTCTGAGCAGCAGCAATCCATCCACTACTGAGGTTCCCAATTGCAGTCCTTCCGAACAAAAATCTGAGACTATTTCCATTACAGAACCACAAAAGCTGTTGCTAGTCAGACTGATACAACCCAGCAACTTCAAGGTTATGCTTCTTTCATTTTGATTATGGGTGTAAGCGAAAGGTTACACACAGTGTAGATGTTTGCAGGGTAGGACTGCAGGTAATAAAAAGTGAATTTATAATAGAAAGGCAGGATGGAATATGTTTAATGCAAAATGTTGGCCTTGGAATCAATACAACAAATTCTTATACGCATATCTCTGCCAAGTTTGGTGGAGTGTAGATTGTCTCTATGCATTACTAGGGATGTCCCAAATATGACCCTTCTCAAATTCAAGTATTCTGGCGATAATACAAAATATTCAGTCAACAACTTGCCTTATGATGTGGACTGATAAAATATTCAAGCTCTAAATTAGCAGTCTCAGAAAGTTATTAAAATATACACTTAACCTGACAGCAACATGTCTAGAGGTGCTGCACAGAGCACATTATAGAAAACCAATAAAATCTGATCAATAACATTACCGCATAAAATTTTTATCTCCTAGGAACCAAGAATCATGGATGTGAAACATTTATCCCACATGAATGTAGGCAACTATGAACATGAGTGCAGTAAACAAAGAGAGGAAGTGAAAAATCCAAAGGAAACGAGGGTGGGGAAGGGGAGGTGGAGAGGGAGGAGAAAATTTAACGGCTAAACATGATTGCCCAAGTTAGAACTGGTCAAATGCCACAAGAAACAGCAGTGTAAACCTTATGAAAATAACTGTATCAGATTTTTAAAAAATCACACACCTAGTGGGAATTACTTTTAATACTTAACTGATGCTAAACATTACAAAAGGGCCCAGCAGCTTTCGCTGCTTTAAAACTGCAAGGCTTATCAAAGTTCCTAACATTACCAAACGCTAATAAAGGAGAGAGTACAAAGGAAGAATAATACAGCCGTGCAAACAAAGTCCAAAAAAGTGAAAGTGGGTAGGGGAGTAAAAAGAAAAAAAGGAAAGTAAATAGCAAGGAGTGGTTAAGTATTGTCACTATGTGCCTCAAATAGGTTTCCAGTGTCACTTACTTATACTGTCCCACAGCAAAGGGGTTCCTAAGTAGAGTACATGAGGGCCAGAGAAGGGGCCAAAAATAAAAGCAAACACTTTCACCCGATTTTTCAGATTCCACCCATCACCTCCAAGTATATACATATTTTAACACACATTCTAAAACCAGATATTTTATAAGACTCTGAGTATCCCAAAATTAGAAAGTTCATACATTATGGCCCATATACACCACTAAGAGAAGACTAATAGACTATCTTTTTCTTTCACATGTAACTGAAATAACTATGTTTCACATGTAACTGAAATAACTATCATTTAATCAGAATCAACAAAAAAGGAAACGTGAAAGGAACTGCTAGCCACAGGCAGGCCATAGACAACACAAACTGACAGCAAGAAGAGATTTAAAAAATCCATAAAGAGGCCAGGCGCAGTGTCTCAAGTCCTGTAATCCCAGCACTTTGGGAGGCTGAGATGGGCGAATCACCTGAGGTCAGGAGTTTAGAGACCAGCCTGACCAACGTGGTGAAACCCGGTCTTCTACTAAAAAATACAAAAATTAGCCCGGTGTAGTGGTGCACACCTGTAGTCCCAGATACTCAGGAGGCTGAGGCAGAGGTTGCAGTGAGCCGAGATCATGCCACTGTGCTCTAGCCTGGGTGACACAGCAAGACTGTCTCAAAAAAAAAAACCCCAAAAAACAAACAGACAAACAAAAAACGTAAAAAGCAGTCACAGGAACTCAAAGGCATAGCAATTTGGAGACCTTCTACACAAAGGTAAAGAATACTCCACATCGGTTGGGCACAGTGGTTCACATCTGGACCTAGCTCTTTGGTTGGTCCAGGCAGGATTGCTTGGGCCTAGGAGTTCAAGACCAGCTTAGGCAACACAGTGAGATCCCATCTCTACAAAAAATACACTTAAAAAAACTAGACAGGCATAGTGGTGCATGCCTGTAGTCCCAGTTACTTGGGAGGCTGAAGTAGGAGGACCGCTTGGGCCTGGGGGATCAAGGTGGCAGTAAGCCATGATTGCATCACTGCACTCTAGCCCCGGCAACAGTATGAGACCTCATCTCAAAACAACAACAACAATAACAACAAAAATACTTCACAGAATCAGTGGCAGGCTTTGAAAACGCTGCCATGCAGAGGAGAACAATCCCTGATACTCACAGGAAGAATCTCGACTCATTGAGAAAGAAAGAGCGGAATCTTTTTTACTGGCTCACTGAGGAAGACAGGAAAGTAAGTAATCCATTTTAGGAACACTTCCACTGGAATTTAGAAAAAAATGGTGCCTAAAGAGAAAATTCCTCAGTTATTTCAGAAACTTGGCTTTTCTGAATGACTCATTCCTTGAGGGTTCTAAATAGCCAAGTTTTAGTACATAACAAGTATGTCAGTTTTATGAGCAAACAAGGTTATACAAAAAATATTTTTCATACTCAAACCAAGAAATAACCTTAGATCCTTAAAGTGTCTTAAAAGTACTGTTCAAGTTTCTATTTCTCCCCACATTTCTATAATTTAATTAACAAAACTGAAACTTACAAAAATTTATTTGGAGGCTTAACATCTTTTCACAAACCCAAAGTAACACATCAAAGAAACACTACAAAATACTAGGTAACATATAACCATTACTTAATATGCCTCATAGTACTCCAGAAAGGCTTCTTTAAACAACTGAATCCTAAGTATCACACACAAAGGTAGATAAGTATCACACATAAAGGTAGGTAACAGAATTATATTCTCCAGGTCTTTACAATTACTAAGTGAATTTATTACTACTCAAAAAGTGTCTATTTTTGTAACTACTCTATCACGAATGGTACTAAAATTCAAGTTATTTCCAACCACTTAATTATTTTTTTTTTGAGACACAGTCTCACTCTGTCGCCAGGCTGGAATGCAGTGGCGCAATCTCAGTTCACTGCAACCTCCACCTCTCGGGTTCAAGCGATTCTCCTGTCTCAACCTTACGAGTAGCTGGGACTACAGGCGCACACCACCATGCCCAGCTAAGTTTTGTATTTTTAGTAGAGGTGGGGTTTCACCACGTTGGCCAAGATGGTCTCGATCTCTTGACCTCGTGATCTGCCTGCCTCAGCCGCCCAAAGTGCTGAGATTTCAGGTGTGAGCCATAGCTCTCAGTCATGAATGTTTTTCAAATTTTACTTTTAGTAATTTTTGGTCAGGTGCGGTGCCTCACCTGAGGCACACACACACATTTATTATTATTATTATTATTATTGAGATGGAATCTCGCTCTGTTGCCCAGGTTGGAGTACAGTGGCGCAGTCTCTACTCACTGCAACCTCTGCCTCCCAGGTTCAAGCAATTCTTCTACCTCAGCCTCCCGAGTAGCTGGAACTACAGGTGTATGCCGCCATACCCAGCTAATTTTTTTGTATTTTAGTAAAGACGGGGGTTTCACTGTGTTGCCAAGGCTGGTCTCAAACTCCTGAACTCAGGCAATCGGCCCACCTCGGCCTCCCAAAGTGCTAGGATTACAGGTGTGAGTCACCGTGCCTAGTAATAATAACAATTTTTTAAAGACAGGATCTCACTCTCCTGCCCAGGATGGTGTGAACATGGATCACTGCAGCTTCCACCTCCTGGGCTCAAGTGATCCCCTTGCCTCAGCCTCCTGAGTAGTTGGGACTATAGGCACATGCCACCACGCCTGTTTAATTATTTTTACTAGAGACCAAGTCTGACTATGCCTAGGCTGGCCTCTAACTCCTAGGCTCAAGAGATCCTCCTGCCTCAGCCTCCCAAAGTGCTGGGATTACAGATGTGAACCATTGCACCCTGGCTACTTTATTTTTTTTTTATTTCAAATTTTTTTTTTAGCTTGTCTTATTTTTTAATTGTTTACATATCTCTAAAAGCTTCAAGTAATAAATACACAGTGTTTAGTCTACTTGTCAATACCACCACCTAGTGGCCAAAAGCCTACAAAACCTTCAGAACTAAAGTAGGTCTACTTTATCAGCTGCTGACGTCATGTGGTTAAAAAACAAAAAGGTATTTTTATGATTGTCTGGTTCAAGCACTACTGAAAATCCACATGGAAACTGCACAGCAAAGTTTCTGACAGCAGGTGTAACTGGACGCTTACAAACTATAATGGGATGACACTGCATAATTTGATTTATTTTCCTTTGTTTTATCAAAAGCATATGCCTAAAAGCCATGATGTTCTTTAGCTCTTTC